GGGGGGGAGGGAGGGAGGGAGGACGCGAATTGAATGCGCACATGCTGGTTCCTTTTTTTTGTCTGGGCTTCCAACTTTTGCGTTGCGGACTTTCCATCATGGCCCGCTGCCTGCGTTTGCCCTCGCAAGGTAGAACAGGCCCTTGAGCCTTGAGTTGAGTGATACAAAAAATCTATGAGCCTGAAACGGGCCCGTCTCAGAGACAAGAGCTATAATGGCTCCAGCGTCAAAAACGATTTTCGGTAAAAGCCGAGAATCGCTTCAGTGGATTCATAGCTCTCGGCACCGCCAAAATTGAGGGCTATGCCGTTTGGCATAGCCACCAATTTCCCGACTCCCCGCGGAGGAGACGAAAGTGCTGCCCAGGCAAAACTGTGTGCCTCAACGAGATTTTATTGATTACAAGATCAGCATGACCACATTCTAAGACCCCCTGCAGGGGTTTGAGTTCTACTAGGATCTAGGTTTCTCTCACACACTACACGTTTTTGTGAAACTCAATAGCAAGTCAATACAACTGTTCAAAAACAAAGCTACACAGCAATGCTCAACTTAATGGCGAACTAAGCCGGGAAATGGCTTGGAATCATCTCAGACAGGGTTTAGGGTTTAGGGTTTAGGGTTTAGTAGTTAGGGTTCAGGGTTTAGGGTTTAGGGTTTAGGGTTTAGCGTTTAGGGTTTAGGGTTTAGGGTTTAGAGTTTGGGGTGCAGGGTTCAGGATTAAGTTTTCCAAGTTTGGGGTTGACGGTTTAGGGTTAAGCTGTGGAGTTTAGGGTGTAGGGTTGGGGTTGAAGATTTATGGTTAGGTTTCAGGTTTTGGGTTTCGGGTTTCGGGTTTCGGGTTAAAGGTTAAAGGTTAAAGGTTAAAAGGTTAAAGGTTAAGGGATTAGGGTTTAGAGTTGGGGGTTCAGGGTTCAGGAATAAGTTTGACGGGTTTGGGGTTGACAGTTTAGCCTTAAGGTTCAGGGTTCAGGGTGTAGGGTTTGGGGTTGAAGATTTGTGGTTCGTGCTGAGGTTGAAGGAGTTAGGGTTTCGGTTCTCGGGTTTCGCATTGAGGGATTAGGGTTCAGGCTGTCAGGTTGTGGGGTTCAGGGTTGAGGGGGTGTGGTTCATGGTTCAGTGGCCGGTCTCAAACAGGGGAAGTGATATATCCACGGTTGAGGGTTGAGGATTGAGGGTTAAGTTTTCAGGGTTCAGATTACAGGGTTTAGGAAGTAGGGCTTAGGGTGAATGTTAAGGGTCTGGGGTTCAGGGGTTGGCGGTTGAGGTTTATGGTTTAGGGGTTATGGTTTATGGTGTGGGGTTTGGGGTTCAGGGTTTTTGGGTTTAGGGTTTAGGGTCTAGGGTCTAGGGTCTAGGGTTTAGGTTTAAGGGTTTAGGGCTTAGGGTGTGGGGTTTAGAGTTTAAGGCTTAGGGCTTAGGGGGTGGGTCACGGTCTCAAACAGGATGAGCAATCTATCCACGAACACGAGTTTCCGAGTATGTTCTCGCTATCTGACATACAATTTGCATATGCTCGATTTGAAGAGGGCGGCA